GTCAGACTAACAGAGGAAATATTCCTATTGAAAGAATATAAAGATTCGCTGTTTCTTAAGTATTTGTTCAGGAATGCTAAATTGCAGATTTTAACCCCACTATATCGGAAACATTAAATTCATTTCCTCACTTTTACTTCAGGATAACAGTCCACCGATTATTCAAGAACGTGTGGGTCGTTGCCTTGTGGCTCACAATCCTTGCACTGATCAGGAGCCGTTGCTCGAGTCTTGCAGTGTTTCCATACCTCGCTCATTTTTCAATCCTAAAACCAACAGAAATGTTCGTTCGTTCATCCTGACGCTGGAAGTCAGTATTCCTCTTGTTGAAACCACGAAGAAAAAGAAACGAAAGAAAAGTGATGCAAAGCCTGAGCAAAAACGTAAGTTTAGGAGACAACCGAAACTGAATCGCGGTCCCCAAACGAAGTTTGGTATCGCTTTATGTTCGCTGCGTGAGTTTGTTAGATTGTTACTTTGTTAGTTTGTTAGTGTGTTTGTAAATCTGTTAATTTGTTAGTCTGTTTGTTAGTTTGTTTGTCTGTTAGTAAGCGTGTTAGTCTGTTATTGTGTTTGTTAGTATGTTTATTATTACATGACAAAATTACTGGATGTTGATTGGTTGAGAGGAGTACAATTATTTCATTAATTGTACTGCAGTACAATTAATGATTTTCCCATGAAAATACGAACAAAATCACCAAATTTTGCTTTAACAAAAGAACTAAATGAAAATACAAACAAAAGCACCAAATTTTGGTTGAAGGTCTGGCGGGACTGGGCTTTGGCGAGAGAATATGATGCTGACATTGAGAAGTACGTATCCAATTTTGTCATGCTAATAATAAACAAGTAATCATGCGATGTTGCTCGTACAATTAGGGATTAATGGTACTCGTGATGTTTGGAAATTGGCCAAATTGGACTCGCCCCGGCGGCTCGTCCAATTTTGGCAAAATTTCCAAACATCACTCGTACTATTAATCCCTAATTGTACTCGCCATCGCATGATTACCTATACTTAATTTACTTGTTGGCGAGAAGTGAACGATTTGATAAGGGACTATTCGAGGAACGAAGCAGCACAGCTTTACGAATAATACAAAACCTATAGTCCAAGAGAAAGCATTACACTTATAAGGTAAAACAAAAAATTAGACATACCTGTATCATATAAGTAAGAGTTGCTCTTAGTTTCTGTGGAACTCCAACTTTCTCAGACGTAAACGCGAACTGGCCTTCGTTTGCAGCATCTGCAGAAATAAATATGTGACACTCATATTTCTTCGCTGCAGTTGAAAGAGCTCATTAAAACAAACTCAAAACGATTTCAGATAAGAAAGGATTTTTTTCTTTTAAAGGTGATCTACAGTCCGATCTGCGCATGTGCACAAATGAGCCCACTTTTTATGATACAAACAATTTAACTATGTTTTGAGTTCTTGAAAAGCCTGATTGTTGTTTCTTGATCATTTATTATATTCTAGAAGCTTGAAAATATAAATAGTTGTCGAATAAAGCTCAATATTTTGGACACACAAATGTAAACAAAGGCTTTGTTTACATACGGACTGTAGATTACCTTTAAGATAAACTTTTTAAGATAAACTCGCCCCGGCGGCTCGTCCAATTTTGGCAAAATTTCCAAACATCACTCGTACTATTAATCCCTAATTGTACTCGCCATCGCATGATTACCTATACTAAGTTGTCAGTTTGTTTGTTTGTTTGTTTGTTTGTTTGTTTGTTTGTTTGTTTGTTTGTTTGTTTGTTTGTTTGTTTGTTTGTTTGTTTGTTTGTTTGTTTGTTTGTTTGTTTGTTTGTTTGTTTGTTTGTTTGTTTGTTGGTTAGTGTGTTGGTTTGTTAGTCTGTTAATTTGTTAGTCTGTTTGTTACCCTAACACTATTTAGGGCAACTTAATGTTCCTGGTTAAATTTCCTGATTAATTTAATCCCAGTTCTGGTAAATTTGATCACTATTGTGGTAGTATCGTATCACTATCCAGGCTACATGGTTGAATTAACCAGATTATGTTAGATGGATTATTAACCATCTGAGAATTCTTGGTCTTATTTGTGCCAAAGCAGTAGTATATACAGAGTTATACAGTAGATATTTTTCAATTTAGAAAAATCAAATTCTTCTGAGCCGCCAAGCAAACGTCTTCGTGGTCAGCGGGTGTCTTTGAATTCTGAAAATGAACAGCCAGAGAAGCAAAATCCAGAGGATCTGGAGGCATGTGTCCAAACCCTCGAGGAAGCGTCTGATAAAATGGTTTACTTTACCGAATTAATTATATTCGGCAACGAGCGAGAATGTTTATTGGTGGACGGCGAGTATGAACTGGTGTTGCATGACAAGGGAAATGGTAAACAACGCAAGAGAAAGCAGTTGTCATGGGAGACTGATTATAATGGAAAGGTAACTTAGGCCCGCATTACTAATTACTTTCAGGGTTCGTACAAAACTTGAATGTCCTTGAATGTCCTTGTATTTGAAAACAAAAATTCAAGACCTCGAATGTCCTAGCCACCTGAAATTCCTGAAATTTTTCTTGCTTTAGTTTTTGGATATTTTCTGAAATTGTTTGCCATTCAAAACGGACATTTTGTTGAATTGATTTTGCATGTTCATATCTCGCAAAGCTGTTTGAAACTCATTAAAATTGCTTTTTGAAAAATGCAACGTCAGATTTCACTGATTTCTAACCCCTTGTCATCAGTATTTAGTCCTTGAATTTTCTGATGCATGGCCTTGGACAAAAGAGTCTAATTAAAATTTTTTGAATTGGAACACCAACATGGCGGCTGTGACGTCATATACAAACACTCCATCGAAGGGAAGATGACTGTGAAACTCATTAGAATGACAATATACACTCATTATCCATGTTAGTCAACGTTTATTCAATAAACAATAAACACGTGACGGTGAAGGACCAGATTTATGAATAAACGTTGACTAACATAGATAATGTTAGTCAAAGTTTAGTCATAGTTATATTGTTATTCTAATGACTTTCACAGCCATCTTCCCTTCGATAGGCTATGATCAGACATATAGCTTCATTTTTTTTTTAATTTCTTTTTGTCAAAGTTTCTGAAATTTTGTAGGTGTAAAGGGAATATCTAGTAGAAGATTATATAAAAAAATTATGGGGGATTATAAATTCAGCTCTTGAGATATTGCGCGAAATTTTTTCCACAAAAACTGTTCTATAGAATTTTTTAAAAATTCAGTATATTGCAATAAATGACTAGTACTTTTAAAATACAAAATTTCATTAAAATTGACCGAAGGGAAAAACCTTATTGCATTACAAACCTTGCGCGGTCAAATAAAGTATTTGTTGACGTGATAAAATCTCAATTCGACAAGATCACGTTACGGCGTCATTTGGAACGGGTTACGATGTGCAGTGGAAACTACAAATAATTTATAGAATAGATTCTTCAAAGAACGGAATTAAAAACATTGTTCCCTTCCATTTGTTTACGTCAATATTTGTTTCCACCGTAGCTTGGGCCATTCGAATTGTTCGCTTTGGGTCCAACGTTGAAATTCTCTCTTGCTTGGGAAGGCAAGCCTGTGTGCATTAGACCGAGCAGTCTTCCGCTACGAGAACGACAGCTGGACTCGAATGCCAACTTGGAGTTGATGAGCGCCATGTCTACGGATGAAAATGATAAAGAAAGCAAGAAAAGATTGCGGATATTTTATCAATTCATCTATAACAACCACACTCGGCAACAGACCGAGGCGAGAGATGATTGTTTATGTCCCTGGTGTAGCGTCAACTGTGGCAAATTGTATAGTTTGTTGAAACATCTCAAGTGCTGTCATGGCCGATTCCTTTTTACTTACGCAGTAAGTATTGTATTAGGGAGGTTTAGCTCACTTTAGCTGCTGCAGAGGTGGAAAAAGTATCGGAACCTGGGAACCTAGTTCCCAGAAATTTTTTGAGTTGAGAATTTCGCAGAACATTTTCCAGAGAATATTTCAACATTTTTATCTCTGTTTACTCGACTTACAACTATTCTACTTTATTTACACTGTACACATGCACTAACATCAGCAGCCTTTTAAATATTTGATAGAAATTAATTTTGTTGCCCACTCCTGCCATCACAATCATGAGGTAAAATGGAAAATATATGCTCTGCAAAGTGTCCAATAAAATGCAAATTGAATAGTGAACTTGTAAATACAATATGCAATGAAATAGGCTTCAAGTGCCAGTGCGATATGCTATTATTATACTGCTATAATACTAGTATAATCATAAAATAACAAAAAAATGCAAATCAGACAAAAAGTCAAGTGATGGAATAAATAAGATTATAGGACACTTAGTTAAAAAAAATTTCCACCCCTGAGGTGCTGTTTACAGGCCTACCCCTTGAGACAACTTTAACACACGTTTATATTAAAAAAATTTGCACTGTATCTCCTCCTACGAGAATGGCTCTAAGTATGAGATTGCGACTCCTGAAACACGCACTTATTTGTTTGAAGGCCAGGGAATGAAAAGTTATACATGGAGGCCGAGACAAACTGTTTACCTGGACAAAAGTTGTCCCTCCTACAAGGGTAACCCTGTTTCGTAAACAGGGTGTCCCTACCGCCAGGGTGACCCTGCCAGCCGAGACGAGTTGAAAACCTTCCACGTAAACACTTGCGTTTAAATGTTATATAATGAATACAATTTTGCCTCTCCCAAAGTGGCTGTGGGGTTTGGTGTCCCTAGTACCCGGGATCATATAAACAGCACCTTAGACAACGAGCACGAATACTGTTATGATACGATCAAACAAGTCACACAATGTTAAATAAAAGTATTTTGTATAATAGAAGACACCTTTTAAGCAAGGCCAAGAATCAACAATAAAGATTTACAAGTTAACACAATCCCAAGCAAAACAATCCCTTATATATGTTGGGGTGCCCCAAACCATTTCCAGGGCCCGCTGATCTATATTTCACTTAAATGTCTGAACCGTCAATATTATAACAAATACGAATTATAATATATTTATTTTGTAGCCACACAGTAAAGGAGCTCGTATTGATGTGTGTTTGAATGACAACTACGATGGTTCCTATGTCGGTGGTACGGAGGATCT